ATATAATAGTTAGTTGTATATATATATATATATATATATATATATATATATATATATATACACACATCTTTGATTAAATGTTTCAGGCCTTGAAAATTCTATTCACATTTACGAGTAGTGGATGAATCAGGATAAGCCTACTTTTTCCATGCACTTGATCTATTGTACAAGTGTATTATTTCAGCTGGTTAAAGTAAACTTGCTTGTAGAGTACACATAGTGCTAAAAAGAAGAAATATACATCACAAATACTTCTTTTCTTCCTATGTATTGTTAAACTGTAACTGTTCTTATATCACATGTGTGTTTCAGTGTCACAGCTGCTGATGGTGTTATCAGTCAAAAGAAATGCTGCAGCATTCAGGGTCATGATTTTTTTTAGGTCTGTGATGTTGAAAAGATATATCTTTATGGACAAAATAACTGACATTTTGTAAAGCTAATGTTTACCCATAATTGCCAAATATTTGTACAGGAGTGCCTTCCTTAGCATTGCATCTTACCTCTATTTGACAGTTAATGGCACGTGTATGTATTTTCTAACAGCTCTGTACACTATTGAATATGTTGCCCTCTTACTTTATTTCTAGTTTATTCCAACCTCTTATGAATTCCTTGTTTATGTAACCAAAATTTTGACTGATTACTGGTTTTTGAAATATGACACGTGTCACTGGTTGATCTACAGGTCAAAAGGCCATATTATAATTAAGCCACTAATTCATTAAGCAATTAATGAGACCCCCCCTTGTGAATAAATTTGTATATGGGATGATCCAAAAATGTCTGAAAACTGCTGCTAAGAATAAGTTCAGCATCTAAAGTTTTACTGCATTTATTATAGCCTTGAAGAATTGTACCATCTGAAACACCTTGTAGGACAAGTAAAAATTCTATGAGTCTCTCTTTCATGATGAATGGCCATTCCAAAATATTTTAAACTTTGCATTTTGATGTTCCCTGACACATTATGTAAATGAATTGTGTCAGTGTAGAACATTTCTTGAAATGATTTATTTTTGTTCTCTAAGTTACCCACTGAGACTCTGCTAAATCACTTTTAAACATTTAAAAGCAAATCAAACTAACTAGATGATCAACATTACCATACATAACATAATTCAGAATATACGGAACTTCAAGTTTGACCTGTAAAGTTTTGTAATTTTGAAAAGGAAGTTGTTTATGTTCACTAGGTCCTTCAAGCAAGCTCTTATTACAGTAATTTGTCAATAGAAGTACATTTATCCAAAGTTGATCAAATTTTGTATATTCATGGTTAGTGCATATTATTGCGATATTTAAAGCAAGTAAAAGTTGTTTTGTTACAAAAATTTACAATGAAGGTTTTATTTCAGTAAACTTGAGACCTTTTAAATAATATCAAACTTATTCAGGAAATCATACCTGAACCACATAATGTAACCAAATAAAAACTGCTCATATTAGAAAATAGTATGTGCAACAAAAACAAACAATTTTTAAAACTATTTCTCTCTGATGCTACACAAGTTCTTCTTCAGTACAAGTATTAAACTACACTGATAATTTGAAGGTCATCAACAGCAAAAAGAAAAAAACTATGTTGCATATTTAGTGAAGACAAACAAATATGGATTAAAGAAAGAAGTATCACACACACACACACAATGCTTACAATACACAGGAAAGTAAAACTTTGGAAAAGAAAAAATTATACTTGTGATCAAAAACTTGTTATATTCAGATATTAAATTCCTGATTGTACTTCAGAAAAAATTTACAAATTCAAATAATTATTTGTTTTTCCTCTTTTCTGTTGTTGATTTTGTTTTATATTAAATATTAAAAGAACTATAAAGAGTTAGTCAAGTATCAAATGGGACCACATAGTGCTTTATAGATAGTGAGAATTTTAGTTTTGTGAAGTCAATATGGGTTTTGAATGTTTTCTCCATTCCACTCTTACTTGTTTAACCCTCTCCAGATGGGTCACATGTCAAAGG